ATCTGGGTACCAAGTTTCGCTAAACAAAACGCTTTTGATAATTTAGCACTACAATAAAGCCTACCAAGACGATTCACGATCCGACGACCAAGGAAGCCATTGGCTCCGAAAACTGTGCAGACGATGCCATTGAAACTACAGCGACCTCCGGAACCTCGTGGAAGCGATGCCTGAAAACCTGTGCGTCTGACTTCTGGCACTTCCTTCGGCCTTGGCGTAGCAGAAACTCTTGTGCAGAACGCATTTCTTCCACAAACTGCTAAAACACCACTTCGAAACTGCAAGAACGCGACCGTCCTCCCCAGTAACATAGCAGCTGAGACGTATCGTACATCTAATAATGCTCAGGTTCTATCTCATCGAAAACAAATTAAGTCACAAGAAGAAGAAGAAGTCATCTTCGAAAATACATTGAAAAAATCTTCTTTTAAACACGCAACGAAGAATTTGTTCAATGGATCAATCTTAATTTGAATGATGCAACCTCCCCCTCCTCTTTAAGTCAAAATGATATACAATATATTCAGAATGCCACACGAATATCATACAAGGCCACTAGGCAGATAAACTTTTACATGATCCATTGCATTAAGCATGCAGCATCTTCATAATTCGAAATCTAGCCCGTTGAGGTTTCCCGATTGATAGAAAATTAAAACCATAAAAAATTTATGCCCCAACCACCACAAGACTTGTAATGAGCAGTGGCCATTGCCAGACGAATATGATGACTTAATGTTTAAACTGAAAAACAACATATTACGCGATTTACTTACAGACAGAAAACAATTAAGGCGCCTCAAAGGGACATTAATCATTTTGTCCTGCGAAAACTTTCATAACGCCAAAAGACTCGATCTCTTCGTAGATTGGATGAGCTTGTCGCACATGTCGTTAAGAAGCGATTTAACCAACAACACAGACCTAAACCTTTATTTCTTGCTCAAGACTTACCAGCCTCTGCGAACAACAAGATAATTTCCGAAATTCAATAAGACTTGTGCCACTCTGACCGGTGCGTTGGGAATAAACAAGCCATGTATTTTTGCGCCCTTTAATAGTAGCATCAGCGAACTAACTAAATAATCAATTGATCCAATCAGTCAATAAATTCAAGTTCCATCAGCGGGTAGACTAGTT